GCCCTAATCCTCTTCCGTACGAAATAGTTTAGGCTAAGGATTTTATTATTATTTTTTCTTTAATCCCTGCAATATATCTAACTAGGGGATCCCCGCTCCATCTCCCCATCAGTTTGGGGGTCCTTGACCTGGAAAACATTGAAGACGCCTGGTCTAAATGATTTACTGTGAGAAAAGGGTCCTTTGTTTAGGCGTACGATTAAACATGATGGCAGAAATCTATCACAGATAAATAAAAAATAAGCAAACAAATAAAAAAGATAATATTCGCGTGGTTTATTTGTTTTAGGGTTAGGTGTGCGTCACCTGTTCTTTCCTCGCCGCTTCGCCTCAGCGATTGGTTAAAATTCCCACAGAACACCCCGCCCTTTAGCTGGAAAGCTCTCCTCTGATTGGTCAGCTCAGACGCCAGTAACAGGTGTCTTCTCCTCCTCCTTCCAAGCGCTCCCTCCGGCTGTCCGTCCGAGCGGAAAACTGGGATGAGAGTTTTAATAATGGCGTGGACACAGTGGGGAGCAGCTGCTCTTTACGTTCTGTCCGCTAACAGCAAGAAAGCCGCGAGCATCGAAAAGGATTTTATGGCCGCTTTGAGAGCATTTTAACGGAACTTATAATGTTACCGCACTGAGATTAAATCTCCGCTGAGAGCTTCAAACTGTGAAACTACCTGCTGCTCTTCGCTTTGTCATGTCGTTACTGTGTGTCAGAGGTAAGTTCATAATGTTTGTTTTTACTTAAAATTAGTTGCAGCATTTAGTGTGACCGATGGGGAGGAAGCAGTGTCCCAAACTGGAGTGACTTCTAAAGAAAGTCCCAAATGTTTACATCATCAAAGTACCGCATTATCCTAAAAAAACATAATTTTTTTCAATGAACGATTACATTTGTAATACAATTTTAAAATTCATACAGTTTTTTTTAAGTGCAATGCATTAATAATATTTTATCTTTAAAATGTACCAAGAATACATAAATAGTAAAACATGAAAGTTATCAATCCTTGTTTGATTCATAAATTGAGAATTCTTTTTGTGAATACGGAGTGCCAAAAGTGCCAAAAATGCCAAAAATCCAGCAATAATTAAAAAAAACAACAACAAATGCTTAAAAAATGTTTTCTGTAATAGTTTAAATATGACATCAATGTATTCAAAGAAGAAGAATGAGATATCATTATGATTTGCAAATTATACTGTTAAGGTATTTTATGTGTAGGCTACGTTTAAATCTACATTTAGTGTAAAAATAGCAATTTCATAAATTAAGAAACTAAAGGATAATGACCTTGGATTAGTTTTTCATTAAAAGAAAGGAAAATTAAAACATCTTATTTCTAAATCAAAATGTAGTTTTTTTTTATTATAAAATATGAAATGGATATTAAATCAGTTCACTAAAAAAAAACAAAAAAACAATGAAGTTAAGCTAATAGATTTCCCAAATGTTAACATGATCAAAGTGCCACATTATCCTAAAAAAACATCTTTTTTTAATGAATGATTACATTTGTGATACAGTTTCAAAATTCATATAGTTCATAAATTCATAAAGTCCAATACATTAAAAATATTTTATCTTTATATATGAATATGTACCAAGAATACATAAATAGTAAAACATGAAAATGATCAATCATAGTTTGATTCATAAACATTTGATTCATAAACATTTGAGAATTCTTTTTGTGAATACGGGGTGTCAAAAGTGCCAAAATCCAGCAATGATTTAAAAAAAAAAAAAAAAACAAATCCGTAAAAAAATATGATCTGTTAGTAATAGTTTAAACATGCCACCAATGTATTCAAAGAAGAAGATTTCATTATGATTTGCAAATTCTACCATTACGGAATTTTGTGTGTATGCTACTTTTAAATCTTGATTTACTGTAAAAATTGCTATTTCATAAATTAAGAAATGGTTAATGAAAATGGATAATGAATAATTCGTTTTTCTTTAAACAAAAGGAAAATAAAAACATCTACTTATTTATTAATCAAAATGTATTTTGTAATGATAAAATATGAAGTGGATATTAAATCAGTTGACTAAAAACAAACAAAAAAACAAACAAAACAAAAAAAAA